TACATTGGCCAAATCAAATGAAATCTAATTTGGATCAATTTTCTATCTCCATCTTCAGTTTAATTTGATTGCTCTGATATGCCAGTATTGAAAACTTTCCTAGGTGCCCTGTTAAATTTTTCAACTGTGATGGACAGTTGGTCAGTGTCAGATCTATCAAAATTATGAGACTGTCCTTGTGTAGAACTGAAAGGTGCTTTCCTAATTCTTTTAGAGAATATTAAATAACTGAACAAATCATGTTAGTAGGAGGCACATAGTTGTTAGATAGAGTCATTATGAAAGATAAAATGTATAGTCATGAGAAGTAGCATGAAAGAAATGACAGCAAACCTTCAAAAGAAGGATGCTTAGCCAAGAATGCTGATACTTTTTCCCACCAGGCTTCAGGTGTGCCATTATTGGCTTGGCATTCCTGTGCATACTGAACTGGTGCATCAGGTACACAGATCAGTTTTTTATATGGACTTTGCAAAATAGACACACTTTCCTTTGGCAACCTGTGACAATAATATACATCCTACTTTTAAACTACTTAAGGGTATCTTCCATTTTACATTTTCTCCACTGGATTTTGAGTGATGTTTGTAAGAGTTAATCTTATCTTGTCTAGGATAATTTTGAGGAAGACATGGAACAAAATGTTTTGGCAGAACTCTTTTAGGGCAAAGTTTAAAGAGAAAAAACACCCACCTACATAAAAACATGTGTAGGAAGGAGAAGAGTTCAGCTTTTTCATGCTGTTAGTGAAATCCAGCATCAAACTAGGATTATATTAAAATTCATGCTGAAAATTTCCTTTTCTATGTATTACTAGTATAAGCGATTATTATTGTAAGTATCATGTTTTTGTCTTATGTTTTTTCGAAGTATTATAGTTCCTGTATCTTGGACAGTCTTTAGTCTTATACCATTCTAGTTTTTTATCTGGTAATAGTATTTTGTTTCTTAAAATATTCCTCTGAAACTTTGACTGTTTTTCCTTCTTGTAGAAATGCCAAAGTAGTGAGATTATGCTATTAGCATAATGCTATGATTGCTATTTCTTTTTTTCTAACTGTTAGATCAGAACATTTATACCTTCTACTATAACAATTGAGTTCTGTAGAATTTTACATGGGATTTAAATAAACTTAACAAAATTATTTTTTTTTTTTCCTGCTCAGTTTTAATCGTTTGGATTTGCCACCATATAAAAGCTATGAACAACTAAAAGAGAAGTTGCTCTTTGCCATTGAAGAAACGGAGGGATTTGGACAAGAGTAGAAGTGGCTTCTAATCAAAAAGGATATCTTGAATAATAAAAGGCCCAGCCAACTAAAATTGCACATTTAATTGTATATAAGCTTTTTGTTCTGTACAGTGATCTTTCTGGAACTCTAAAAGTTTAATTGTTCTCCGTTCTTCCACAAATATATGCAAAACAGTTCAGCCTTTTCTACTTTTATTTATTGCCCTTTCAAAAGACCAGAAAAAAACCTCCATAAATTTTGAAAGCAGACAAGAGACTTATTTAAAATATATATATATAAAAATATAAATATATATACTAATGGGCTCTAGTTTTATAGAGCTTTAAGTGTATGAAAAGTTGCAGCCATTTAAAAGGGCCTGGATTTGCTTTATCTTGGCTTTATCATTCAGAAAAATGTTTAAATTGCTCAGTGTTCTCTAAAGAAACATCTCCAAGTTTGTTTTACTGCATGGCTGTTCTAAAAGGTGTTAAAGGCTTAGGCCAAACGTATCCTAAATATGTAGAAAGATGCTGCTGGTATTTGAGACAACAGAATCTGTTCTTCTGTCAGATTTTTTTAAATACATAAATAGCGGATATATCCCTCTTTACTGATGTAGCCAAGGTCATGAATAAAGCCTTTACTACTTGCACAAGAGTCATGTACCATGAGATGAATGTGATTTAACGTTGAAAGGAATTGGTGCCACTGTTTTGACTTACTGCAGGAGATGAACAGAGTATTTTAATTCATTTGAGCAGCATTGAAATTTGTTTACACAGAACCATGGGTTATTAACACAAGGATGTTAGGTAATCTTCAAAGAAAAAAATAATAAAAGAGAAAATATTACCCATTCTCTTCTTGGTCTGGTGTCTTGGAGGCTTTTTTTTTTTTTTTTTTTTTTTTTTTTTTTTTTTTTTTTTTTTTTTTTTTTTTTTTTTTTTTTTTTTTTTTTTTTTTTTTTTTTCAATCCGTGATGTCCTTTTTATAACTTTGTAGAGTTGTATTAATGTAAACTGAGCTATAAGGGTATACAAAAGGTAATGTGAATTTTGCTGCTTTCTGTGTTCTTGTTCAGTTTCAGATACTGGATCTAGTAAACTCAAATAAAATGAAAGTTACTTAAGCTTTGCACAGATAAAAATATTATTTCATATTGAATACTCTAATTCTCTAAAATTCTTACTGAAATTTAGATGTATTTGAATAAAGTACATCTAAAACTTGTCATCCTTTTATGTAGATCAGGTTTGTTCTGAGTGCACAATAATATAAAAACATTTTAAGATTAGTTTTATTGGCATTTTATTGGCATATATTTGCTGAACTGCAAAGACATTTAAAAAAATACTAAAATTTAACACCTTATTCATGTGAATTATATTAAATGCTACTTCTAGCAAACTGTGCTTCCTTATTATAGAGTAAAATGTGTTTTAAATCACCATTTGTAATATGCTTTAAATATTACCTGTAAATTCCATTACATTTAAATTACACAGAATTTTGTACACATGAAAATGATTTTAGAATACGATTCAACACACATGTGTTAACATATCATATTGCACTGTTAAAAGTGTACATGCAGATAAAAATCAGCTATATCTCTTCATGTATCTTTTCAATGCAGCAGCTGAATTCTGCCAGAAGTTTTATTTTTCTACATATTGGATTGTCTCAAGGCTTTGTATTCAATATGCACAGCTTACCCTGGAGCTGTAGCTGTACAGAGCTTTGGTCACAGCAGTGGTGCAGCAGGCCCAGACTGCTGTCTTACATGAACTTTTCTGTAAGAGCTTCAAAAATTTCCACCACTTTGAGAGTTTTTCATACACCACCAAATTTTTATATAGCACTAAATTCATTTGAAGTGCAAATCCACTTAAATTATCACTTAGGCTAGTTAGAATGGAGGAAGTTTAAGAAAACAAACCAAGAAGGTCAAAGGCCAGGCACCAGGAGTGTGTGTATCACTTTCCTAAAAGACAAGGAGGGCTAAATGTCACAGTTGATGAATTTGCACTAATGAATGACTTGGTGACCCACTACCAACTGCTGAATTTTGTGAATCTGTGAGTAACTGAATGAAATAAAAAAGACAGCGCACTACAAGAATGTAGTTGTTTTATTGTTTTGGTAACTTTAGCTGTCTCATACCTGCAGTGGTATTTCCTGGGGGTAAGGATTAGTACGCATGAAAAAAAATATTCAGTAGCTTTCTGTCCATGTGTATGACCTATGAATTGGTGTCAAGGGCGTGACTGAAATAATGGCTCTGGATGAAAAGAAAGCAGAATTAATATACCTGTGTGCATGTGTGTACAGTATTTGCATTTTCTGGGAATTGCAGTAAGACTGTGTTGTAATTTTTTCTTTTCCCACATGAATTCCCCATATTTCACCTATACTTGGGGGGGAGTGAGTAAGACACCAAAAAGAGGGAAGGCAACAATGGCTGGAGGTCAGACCAGGGAAGTAATACTACCTGAAGGAGCTGCTGTGTAGTTCATGGGTTTTGTCGTTTCCTTTCTTCCTGCAACTCACTGCTTTTCACTACACACTTCACAGCTATTAGTTTGGATATTCTTCCTTTGTGCAGCAGCAGAAAAGGCACCTAAGTAAAGATGCCTGCCACAAAGCTACTAGAAACAACTATATGCAGATGTTTTTGTAGAATATGAATGCAGAAAATTCTCTCTCAAACACTATCATCCACCCTGAGACACTGTAACATAGAGGACTTCATTATGATGCTTAACTAATATAACAGTTACTTTATGGTAGTTGGAAAAACCCTGTTTTGACTGTAGCTTTGTGGCATTAGGCTTTAATTCAAGCCCCAAATTCTCCCTCAACCATGAATTTTTACTACTGACTTAGTTTGGGCTTGGGTGGTTAGTCTAAGCAATTTATGCTGTTAATCTTACTTCGAGAATTGCAATTCCCTTTCCTAGTAAAGCAAACATTAGGTATTTTCTAGTCAATTGTTTTTCTAGGCTGTTCTACAGAGAATACCACATGTTTGGTATTTTTTTCATTATTTGGTCCACTTTTTCTCTTGGGTAATTGGAATACAGTGTTTGGCTGGAGACTTAACTTAGATTACTTTGTATTTCTGGTGAAAATTCCTGCCAACACAGTAGAAATACCAAGAAGAAAGTTTATGTCCACAAACAGAAGTCCATGTCCTTCCACACAGTAGTTCCTTTCTAATGTACTGGGAGTGCACATTCCTCCTGTTATCACAGTCTAGGGTGGTGTGTGTGCCCAGCAAACATTTACAGCCATTAAATCATCACAAAGCTTCTCACTGCACATGCTGATATCACCCATAAAGGGATTTTCTTAAAATGTTCCCTTCTTGTTCTTTTTCCCTTCATTTTTTATTTTAAACCACAACACTTTCTGCAAAGTCAAACACTAGCATTTAAGAGTATTGGAATTAAGAAAGTGCAGCCTTAATGATAAATCTGTTGGAGCATTACTCTTGAAGGCCATTGAATCTCACAGGAAAATAGTGTAAAAAAACCTGAAGGATTATAATTATGTCATGACCCTATCCCTCTTTTCTTTAAACTTATGCTAGTCATGTTTCTCGTTATTCTTCATAAATAACTTGTAGTTTAGAACTGCAAAAAACTTAATTAAAAACCCAGGGTATCACTCTGCCAGCCTTTTCTGTCTAGCTATAGACCCTGCTTGTGAATAAAGCCCACTTCACTCCCATGTAAATGAACAGACAGGATCAATAATGAAACAGATCTTCCAGTTCAGATTTTAATAGAAATGAGAGGCAGACAGAAGATCAGAGCTGTACTTTTACTATCAGCTTCAATAAGCCAAAGTAGTATTTGAGGCCTTTTTCCTATGCTGCTCACACCTGAGGCAATGAATTCCCATTATCTTGTTTCTTCTTATATAGAATTAAGCAGCTCCAAAGCTTCTTTCTGTACCTGAAAGAAATAAATTTAACATAACAGTCCCAGGTAGTTACAGACTCATCCAGCAAAACTTCCCTCATAAGCACCCAAATGTTTCCCTGCAGCTGTGTAAATTCAGTATGGTCCTAGGACAAGTCATTTTTCTTCTGTAGTTTAAGATGCTCAATACTTGAAATGTGAATCAGAATAAATCACTTAAGCCAGTGTCTTCAGTGTTATTCACTTACTACACTTACTATAAATGAAGTTATTTGTGTTGAATACAGATACTAGTTCTTGATTTGCTGTAGTCCAATAGTTGCATGCAGGAAATTGTCCTGTCTACCTCTGACCATACCCAACCAACCTACACTTTTCAACACTCCAGCGAGCGACTAAGAAGTGAGACCATTTCTGAGGCTCTGTTTGCATGAGGTTTCTGGTTAAAATCTAGTAAAATCTGAATATGGTCTCTAACATTCATATTAGAACACCCCCCAACAACAAACTAAACTGTCACCCTGATTTTTAAGATTTTCTAAAGTCTTCTGAGTTTACATTCTTGTAGCAAACTTTCTCACACACTTTTTAAAAATAACTTATTGTTTTGCATTCCTTCATAGAGGCAGAGAAATTTGATGGACTGTTAGGTTGTCCAGGGTCGTTGGAGAGTGGCACTTTCACCCTCCAATCCACTGTCACCTCTGGAAAACTAAAAATGCTGGAGTCAGAAAATAAACTCCCCTTTTTTACCTTTACAACAGCAGCGGTAGGTGTCTTGCTTTCTTGTGTCCTATAGTGACACTGAACAGCAAAAAAATCTCAACACCCTTTCAACCCTCCTCAAACTACAAAAAAAACTCCAACCCAACAATGATAATGACAGCAAGCCATGCAGACGGTGTAAAGCCAGATACCTCTGCGTACCTCCAGTAACAAACATTCAGAAAACAGTTATGCTGAGACAAGAATTCAAATGTCTTTGCACATGCCAGTTTCCTACATAGTGGACTATCAAGTCTAGTTCCCAATGAATTTTGCATTTTACGCATTCACACAGAGAATGGAGAGAATGCCATCTTTCTCAGTATAGCAGCTCTGCACTCCTCTAAGAGATTAAGAAATAGATATCGGTACCAGGAGGCCACAAATACCTGAACCCGATCAGTGGTTTAACAACTTGGCTACTGCACAAAATTCACTCCTGACTATACTTTTTGAATGGTTCCTAAAGAAAGACAAGTTTTTGGGATCACTGGTTTCATGTGTGCCTCCAGCTACTGGTAACTGTCAGGAGAACTGACCAATTTCTTACACACCTGAGACCACTACTCCTTTAGGCTATTAAATTTCCTAAACATTTTGCAAGGCACTGGAGGAATGTAATACTTGTATTTCCACTCAAGGATGTTACTAAAGGAACTCACTTTTGGAAGAAACAGTCTGAGGCTTACTAGTGAGGGATTCTGTTGTGGTAGTGTTTTTTCTGAGGTGTGAAATGCAAAATCTTACCAAAGTATTTCCTACTTTGGACATTCAGTGTTGCATGGACATTCAGAATGTGCATCTCAACTGCAGCTTAATGCTAAATGAAACAGAGCTCAATCAACCATAAAAAAATCAAATGGAAATGAAGCTTTGTTAGTCCTGATGCTAACAGGATTGTTTTTAATAAATAACTGCAATTGCTTTGGTTTATACTGAATGTATTATCAGGTATGAACAAGTCTAATGGACTACCTCTCTTGAAGTACTTTGAATGTTTAGGTAGGAAGCAGATGCCTACCCTCCAAACCAAAATCCTTCTGCACAGTTTCAAAGGGTAATTAAGTGACTCATGACATCTAGCACTGTTGAAGATACATTACCTTATGCAGTCTTATTCAGATAATCTGAATCTCTCCCTAGGGGCCTGGGAAGGACTGCAATGTTGAGGTTTTGGTACATCTGGGGTTTTTTCTTCCTTATGTTCACATGACTGTGAGCTATTCCAAAATGTAATTCCTACCTTACCCATTTCAGGCATATGAAAGGTGATTCCATGTTCACATAGAAACAGGCTAGTGCAGGTGCCTACGTGAACCTCAGAAACACAGCTAAGGCTGGGTCATTGTTAAATCTATGAACTACCATGAAGAAGAAAGGTAACAGTTCTCTGCTATGAATAAAACAGAGTATTTCCAACCATTATTTTCAGAGATGGCTAGTAACATACTAGAATTTTTTGGTGTTGATGTGATTCTGAATTAAAGGTGCTGAACTACAAGTTGCCCTGAGTTAATTTTATATGCCATTTCAATGCCATGATATCATACATGTTGGATATGCTATGATTGTACGCTTACAGTTCTTAACTTCCTACCTGTTTGTCCTCCTCTGTCTGTGCAGGATACTCCTTTGCTTTGCTTAACCACAGAAGAGCCATCTTCTTATTGTTTAACTTCAAGTATGTTTTCCCCAAAAAGAGCAAATTTTTGCTGTAGAAATTTGGATCGGCTGCATAGAGACAGGAGAAAAGCTTTAGATGGGAATTAGCAGCATACTATACTTTGATAATTGTTTCAGAAAACATAGTTTGGCTTTGGATCAGAAGGAAGGAAATGTAAAACTTTCACTTGCTAGCTTTTTTTCTCATAAACAATTGTATTAGTTATCAGCTTGCTAGTTAGTACTAAACATACTACAAACTAAATGACACTAGATTCCTCACAAAGAGCAAAGCAGTGAGCTTAATGCATACCAGATTTGCTTTGCAGGTTTTGGGCTTTTCTGGACCTAGTAGGTACAACAGGCAATGCAACCAGCTTAGCAGGTATAGGCAAGTGGAAGTAGGGCACATACAGATATCAGCTTAATTTTTGCTGCACAGAATAAAGCAAAACTATTTGCATCCACAGTGAACATCTTTTAAGGAGAGATTTAAACCTTGCTTTTATAAAGCATAATTCATTATTAAAGACTAATCTTGTCTGCTGCTCATAATTATAGTACAGGCTTTCTCTACTGCTGGATTTAAGGTCAGGTTTCAAAACATATGGACGTGTTTTGGAGGCAAATTTTGAAATGAAGTTCACTGTTCCAGTTCACAGCTGCATTACTTGACACTTCGGAAGACACACTATGAGCCTTTCCTCTAATCTTCAATAATTTAACTATGTACAAATCTTTCACAGAACACTGTCTTGTTTTCCTTTATCTTTCAGATAGTGAGTTTTGTTTATGGCTTCACTCCTGGTAAAATAACATGTTCATATTTTATTTTATCTCGTGTACAGTTTAACTGTCAGATTGGCATAATACCTTCTGAAATAATAAAAAGTCTGCTTTTTCTGTCTTCTATTCAGAATACAGAGGACTTTTGAACTCTAAGAAAATTCTGAAAAAGTAACACAGAATTCCCTTTTTAAATTTCTTCTGCCTCCCTGCACTCCTGTTGGAATTCCTTAGGGAAGAGTACTTCATTCTCAGGAAGGTACAAATTTCACTTTAGTACTTCCTCTTAAAAAATCTTCACATTCCACTGATGTATACTAGGTGTGTAACATACTTTAGTAAGTGTGTAACATACTTTTAAGTATCTCTGATAAAATGTTCCAATGTAACAGCTCAATGCACAGTGACTGGCACACTACATTTATCAGCTGATCATATGCTACTGTTTTGGGTTTAGTGGCTACAGTTACTAAGGTAAGTTGGAGGTTTACTGCAAGTCATCAATTCTAAAAGATATTTTTCAGTCAAAACAAGCCACAAGTCTTACCTTCTTCTGCCATGTGGAAGTAGCGAAGAGCCTGTAAAATACAAAGTTGTTTTCTTTAAAGTGGAGAATAAACTCAACACAATAGTCAAACTAAAGTCTTATGCACATACCTGAAGGAGTTCCTGTCCCTGATCTTATTTTTATTAATTCAGCATGCTACTGATGTACCATTAGATTTGACATAATCTCAAAAGAACTAGTACTTACCCAACTATCCCCCTACCACTTCTTCTTTAAGTGTAGTACCTCCTATTTTTTACTACCAAATTGGATTGTGTTTTTCCAATTCAACTTGTCGAGATAAATTTTGAATTTTGTTTGTACTATCCAGCACATTTGCAGTTTTTCCCATCCGTTTCTCATGTATAAATTTAATAGATAAAACAAATCTTATGATTTGGGTCATTAATAAATATTTGAAACAGAACTGACTCCCACAGAGCACCAGCTAGTAGCCTCTTACATGAGGATAAACATCTATGATACCCACACATTTTCAGTAAGTTTCCCATCAAGCACATATCCAATTTCATCCATCCCTACATCTTCTTAATGGAGTAGGGGGAGGGGAAAAGCTCTCACAGAACTTGAAAGTATGGATGTATCTATAAATCAGATTTTGTACTTCAACTGCAGAAATCTTACCAGTACAAGTTTGCTTCTTCTGTGAGTTTAAGTGCTACAGAACTGAATGTTGGGACTGGCATCATTCTGGCAGTATTTTAAATTCTGGCTGACACTTAGTATTCTTCTGAAAGTGTTTTTTCAGCAAAACTTACAAACTTGACATTCCATTTAAGAGTTTTATTCTTTTTCAAACAGCTCTTAAATTGCTTTCTGTGCAACAGCAAGCAGCCTGCCCCCATCCACTTTAATAGAACAAAACAGTTATTGGTTGCTCTAAACAAACAAACATTAAAACAGCTGCACCAAACTTTTATATTATCAATTTAATTGTCAAGCTTCTATTTATGTACAAGTGTTTAAATAAGATGCACACTGGTTTAGACACATACAGTTTTAGACATCCAACTTTAAAGGATAAACATCTGGATAGTATGTCTTAGGGTGTACAACAGCCAGAATCTTTATAGAAAAGAGGAACAAAAGTACTTTTAACTGAAAAACCCACATCATATGTAGCCAGAGAATTAAAGGGTATTTGTTCATCTTAAGTAATAAAGTGAGCTGTTGCCTTTTGCATTTCATATAAGGGGACAAAGAATATGTACATGGCATAACACCACCATATAAATCAGCACTGGACTAGTGCAGTTATCTGCAACAGAGCACAACAGTAACTACAAGCTAAGTTACATATAGTTTATTATTTTCTCATGCAAAAACTACCAAAATAATTTACACTACTCTGTGTGTCCTACATCTGAAGAAAATGAAAGATTTTTATGTTTTTAGATACCTCTCACTCTCATGTTCTCATGTTATTATTGACAGTTGTAAACTCACTACTCCATGCTTATTCCATAATCAGAGCTCAGCTTTGTCAGGAAAATAAGTAAAAAGTGTATCATCAACTTTGTGGTGGTGGGGGGGGTGGAATAACAATCTGTGAAATATTTTCATACTGTACCTCTTGAAATGTGGAGGTTGGTGGTGTGGCAAACAGTGTTGCAGCTATTTTTCTTTGGTACCATGGCATCTCAGCAAAAGAGTAACACCTGAAGGAAAAAGAAACATTTAGATGTACACTTCACATTTCTCTTGTTTTTGAGCAACATCAGAATTGTTGTTGGACATAAAATCTGGATGTCCTAATTGTTGATTCCAAGAGTCAAAACTGCAGACATGCTGCAAGTTTTATAAGCATGTTCTTACAGCTGTAAACAAAAATAGCAAGATGTCTGAAGCTGCTGCTAAAGAAGTTTTGGTGTGTGTTTTACTGGGAACTAACTACATTAGCTAAAACTGGGACAATTACTAAGCAGGAGACAGATTTTGAGCTTGAATGATTTTTATGATTTATGTGTATTTTTTCTAATGTATTTGCAAAAGCAACATAACTGAGTAATGTCATTGCCTTACCTCAACACTACTTTGCTTTTCTCAATTTATTAATATAAAGTAGATCTGCAGTACATTCCTGAGACTCTGATCTACAAGAATGAAAATAAATTCAAGAATCAAACCACTGTGCTCTAGGCTAAGCCAAGCTATGCTTGTTTTCTATCTACTAAATAACACAGATAATCAATCAGTCACTTATCTTATTGGCGCTGGAAGGATTAAACATTTTTACTGAAGCATTTCAAGTGCACAGAACATTCTGGGTGCAAACATTAAACAATGATAGTCACTTTAGCAGCCTCCCACAATGAGATTGTTATTCACTGTGTAAAATAGAGCATTCTAGAGGACATGAAAAATTAGTAACTGTAAACGTTTGGAGGAGAGGCAGGAAAGACATGGAATACACATCCAGAGTTGAAATTGTGTCATTAGATAGATGTGCCTTATCAGAAAGAGATTCAGTCCAGGACAGATTAGAAAGAGCAAAGATAACTGGCTGATACTAAATGCCAGTTTCAGATCAAGATGGCTCTGGAACAGTAATGAGCACATTTAAATATACAATGTGGGAATATTTTAGAGCCAAAAACAGTATTAATCTAACATTTCTCATCATCTTTTCTAATTTTCCTTTGGAACAATGTCTAAAGTGCTTCCCAGAGCAAGCTTCCTATCTCAAAATGGACTTTGAGGCTTAGTCAATTGGTAGAATATACTTCTGCTTAAAACTCTGGACTATTGCAATTGTTAGATCATGTGGGAATGAACGATAGATGCTTAAGTTTCTGAACTACTAAAAAACTCTGGAGCAGTAGATTATTGTTTTCTTTAATACTTAGGAGCCAAAAAAAAAAACCATAGAAAAATTGACTGTGGGCTTCAGTATTTTCTTAAGCTGAAAATACATTGCCTTTCTTTATTTTTAATCTCTCAATCTTACAATAGAGATCTCTGGTAAAACTATGTAATTAACATCTTTGGTCTTTTTCGGACAAATAACTAAAAGTCCTGTCTGGAGTCTCAGTAAGACATAAATGATATTGCTTTCCATCACACCAGTTGCCTAGAATACCCTGGATAGTATGGAAAGTTCTATTTCCAGTCCATTTGCCTGCTATGTAACAGTAATTCTTAGTATAATTTTCACTGAGCAGTAAATTCAATTTCAATTATTTTTGGTTAATACATATACAGTTATAAGCTCCCTTTATTTAATGTAATTTTTAAAATACTGTATCTGGACAGATAGTAACAGAAATATTTTAGGAATACATCTCAATTTTTGTAGCTTTTCAGAGATATTATTAAATTACAGCCATCACTGAAATTCAATGTAAAGTCGGTGCTGAGTTTTGACTCCATTCATACTCCAGAAGAAAATGAGCTACCACTTACTATCACTGATGCCCACTATAGATTCTGTGAAGCAAACTTAACATCTGCAAAAGGAGTTTTTAATAGTGACATACAAATAAACTAAATGAACAATTATTTTTCATCTTTTTCAACTGCATAATAATTAATAGCTAGACTTTTTCAAGGCATGACATCCTATATCTGTTCAATATGTTTTCATTCTTGCATCAAATACAAGTACATTTTAAATTATTCCAAGCAGTTCTGTAATTCATGCCAGTTATTTTATACTCTTGCATTTTTCTGTGCCATGTGCTAACTTTAGATTGAAAATACATCTTACCAAATTCCTATGAGATGGATTGTTGTAGCATCTTTTGGATTCAGTTCAATGGCTCTCTGGTGCGAGGAGAAAAAAAACAACACGATATGTAAAGAAGTTGTTCTGACACATTGATTAAAATACATTTAAAAACAGACTTGTTATCATACTGTTAATTAAACCAGACTGTGGTGTGTAGAATTTCAAGGCAACACACTGTGTATTCAGTGCACAACTTAATCAGCTCACCTCAAAAAATCTGATGACACTGACAGATGTCTAAACACATCTCTTTAGTAGGTTATTAAAAATTGCATTTGAGACTTGGCATGTTCAGGTTTTGATATAATCTCTGGTGATATAAAATAAGTGGTTCTTTATCTTCTCCAGTATTTATCCTTTACTCTTATATAATCCACAGTTAAAAGGACAGCCACACTGCCATTTCTCAATATGACAATTACAACTGATCTAGTCCTAAAGAGATTTCTAAAGCACTTTAGGTGTTTCAAGACTCCCTTCTAAAGTGACTTAGTTTACTGTAGGAGAGAGTTTGTACTCCTTGTTTCTGGGGCAGTTCTGGAGCATATGTCATAGTAACCCAAAAAACAAAGTGCTACTAGGAAGTCTGAATACAAGTATGCTTTCAATATTTCACCAAAAATTAGTTACCAGCTGTCACACAATCTACATACTGGACACATTAATCTTGTCATATGCAAAAAACTGCATTACCTGGAAATGCTCTTTGATGATAATAGCATTTCCAATTTTAGTCTTGATTCCTTCATAGTCTCCAACATCACTGAGGCAAATTCCATACCACTGTAATACAAATAAAAAAATAAAAACATTTAATACAGCACTATATTAATGGTTCATTTAAAAAAACTTGCAACTAGAACAGCTGCCACCACCACAAACAACAATAAGTATGTGTTGTGAACAGCTCAATCAACATCAGAGCAAGCTGCTGGTCTGCATGTGTAAAGGGAATCAATGTCCTCTCCTGACCCAAGATACCAAAGCAAGTGATTACATTGTGCTGCCTCTTTGCCTGTGAGAAAAGTAGCACCAAAAAAACAAAAAAAAACAACAAAAAACAACAACAACAACAACAAAACCAAAAAAAAAAAAACCCAAAAAAAAAACACCACCAAAAAAAAAAAAAAGGGGCAGAATGCAGCCAGGGCCTGAAATATTTCCAGTGAAACCCTACAGAGCCCAGAAGAGGCACACTGAATGTGGAAGGTACAACATTTTTAAGGTTACATCAGGGCAGGAGGAGCTGATTACATCAGCTGTTACCACCCTGATCAGTACCTTCTTTCCATGGTCCTGCACACACTGAATGTTTCTGCTTCCCCAGAGGAAGTCTGAACTCAGGTCTTCCAAAAACTTTAGGAAGAACTAGAAGTCTCATTCATTCTTAACTGAAAAGTTAAATTATGCTGAAGTCTCCTAAAGCAGCACAATGACATTTGTTCTGTTTTCTGTAAGTAAAAATCGACAAATAATATTTCAGTTGTTTTCCATGGCTCACCTTGTGTGCTGCAAAATTTGATTCATTTTTTTCAAGTGCCTTTTTTGCATACTCAAGGGAGTCATATGTCAGTTTTTTCTTTTCCTCTGCAGAAGTACTACCAAGCTGAGCCAGATCCCGTGATGACCGTGCCAGCCGCCATAACAACTCTGCATCATCACTGGTTAGGAACAGAAACACTGATGTTTTAAAGCAATCAGGGAAACAAAGCAAAAAATGAGTCTTTTAAAGTGTATCTCAAGTGGGTGACAGGACAACAGTGAATCATCTGTCATGCTATGCTACATACAACTCCAAGGTAGCAAACAACAAATGAAAGCCCACTATTGTAGAATGTCTGACCATACCTTCGTTCTGCCATTCTGGTCTGCAAAGCAAACATTTGCAGGAAAGCTTTTTATTTCCTCATAGAGATTTAAGAAACCCCAATGGTACAACTCAAAACACCAGAAAGAAAAGGAAGGCTACTCTCAGCTAGATGTTATTTCTTCCAGCACTCTGCTAATTTGTATTGATGTTTACTTGGAATACTTAAATTATTATGTGTTTTTTTCCCCTTCTAATTGTACTTAAATTATTAAATTCTTCCTAGAAAAACAGTGAAAAAGCCACAGATTAGCAATACCACCAGCACATAAACTCGTACATTTATGTATTTATTTGTATCACTTTACCAAATGGTATATTGTAGGTTACAGTCCATTTAGTTTCATTTTGTTAACACACCGCTTTGGAACTCTGCTTACAGTTTGTTATACTTTAGATAGCTACCACTGGCTTACAAATTTAATAGAGACTTCAGAATCTTTTAGAATTTTGCACTGTATTCTAAGGGATTCTTAGAGTAATAAAACAATCACTACTGAAAATCTTAAGGGGGAACCCTCACCTTCTACAACTATCAGTTCTATCTTTCTTCGTTCATTTTTCCATTAGAAGGAAAAAGATGACAAGTCCTTATTTCCTACTTTTATAAGGGTAAAAAATAGGTTCTCTAGCATTCCACAGTGAGAATATTAGTTGAAAAACTGATACAGAAGAGCAGAGAAAAGAAGCCACAGTAATGTCTCAAGGCAATGAAGTACCTGTTTTTATGCTGAACCAGCAACCGATACAGCTTTTCAGTTTCTCCACTCCCATACAGGTAGTCTGCTTGTTCTATCACATCTTCCACTTATGAAGGAATTAAAATTGTAGGAACAGAAGAACAACTGATAGTTAATTAAGACATTATCACCAAATCATTTTAGAGCAAGACAACCTAGCTGAAAATGATGTAGCTCAATTTTAGGCCATCATTTCAAACTTAGAAGCACAGCAGGATTGAATAAGCAGCATGTACAACGCACAATGAGGATGACAATCGGTGTCTCTACAGTGAGACTACAACAGCTTTCAGCAAGACAGCTTTGGCTGCTGGACAGATTTAACATCCCAAGGTCTCTTTCTCAGTGCATCACGCTACTAGAAATAAGTTATTTTTTAACTTGTGAAAATGACAGAAAAGAAAAAAATATATGGAAAATGGATGAGGAGAGCAAGTACAGTACAGAGTTAAGAGTAACAAATCCCCTTCATTAGTATATGTAGAGAATTTAAATCTTACAGTAACAATTAAAAAAACCCTCAACTTGAAAAAAAATCCTTCATTCTCAATATGGTTCCACAGTTTTGCCAGAACATGACTGCAGTTTGAGTAGGTACCATTATCTACTCACAAGTTTGAGTGGGTTCCATTATCTACTCACAATTATAATAATAAAAAAAAAAAACTTACATATTTTTCCACAGTTTTGCCAGAACATGCAGTTTGAGTGGGTTCCATTATTTACCCACAAACCAAAACATTGCTTAAAGGTTTTCTGACTGAAATCCTTAGGATTTTCCCAAATACAACCCAAAAAAAATTACAATTAATCTACCAAAACTCCTGTATGTTCAAGATATTAATAGCAAAAATAATTTTGAAAATCAGAATTGGCTTTCCAGAGTATCAATTTATTAACCAAGTACCATTATTTTTATGATACTTTCTTTTTCTAGAAAATACTCTGAAACACAATAGTGGTAGGGAATATAAATTCCAGAAATGGATGAATATAATAATATATAAATAAATATAGTACTTGGAACAGCATACAGGAAACAGAACTATCAAACACCACACTAGAGAGGATTATAGCATGAAAAAAGATAGAATTAGATGGAAAAATCCCCAAAGGGAAGCAGATGTAATTTTGTTGACATATATAACTGTACAGGAGAAGAACAAACTTCAAGTTTACTCTTCTGCCAACAGTAAAGCATTGAAAAAATATCTTTTAAGTCAAAAGCCTTGTCCAATTTTTTACAGACATTTTATTTATGCTTATTGTCTCTTTGGTCCTGTGTCCATGATCAAACTTAGAAGTCAAAACATAAGCTCTAACCCCTTTCATAAAAATTAATCATGTTTATAAGGGTTCCTTTTCCAAGTTACCTATCAAATACGGTAACCACATTTAAAGTCAGCATAGTTTGCTTTAAAGAAAAACACTGAAGGCTACTGAACACAAAAGCCTCTTCAGCTCAAAAAGACACTAGAATATGAATCAGTGCATTCTGGATAATTTTTAACCTTGCTGTCTCTACACACCTTCTTTCAACCCTTTCAAAGATAAGATAATGGTCTACATGGACTTTGAATTTTAGTGTCCAAAAGAAGCTTCATAGTACATCTTCAGTATGATCTTCACTAAACAGTCAAGTTTGCTTGCTGACCTGAGCATTAATTACTAACATAGCTAATGACCAAATGCTCAGAACGCAAAACTTCTGAATGTATTTCCCACAAGGTGTTTTATGCAAATTATTATACTTTTATTACTTTAGAGTATTTTTCAGGTATTTCTATTTTGCCCTTGTTTTCACCATATTTATTACATGTCTTGTATACAAAGCCCATTAGCACTGATTTTCTTGGCAATGTAAATGTCAGATTCACGTGCGAGCATTGAGAAGACCAACTAAGCAGTGTAATTTATGCTCCTCATGAGAAATGAAGAATTCTTTATTCCTCATTATTATTATTTCTTAATTGTGTGGAATAGCTATTTCAAATCTACTCACTGATACTCCTGCACATGAAACAGCTCCTTATCCATTCAAAAATTTATTATCTGAATTTTTCTTTCTATCTGCATAAACATCTAAAACACAGAGAAACAGGTTATCTGTCTTTTTAAGACACAGAGAAACAGGTTACCTGAACTGGCTACTACCTCAACTATGAAGTGAGCATACATCCAGTTTGGGCTCGTTCTTTCAGTCAGGCTTACTCTGAAATTCCTTATGTAGGCAGACAAGTTTTAAGTCTGCAACAATATCCCCTTTTAAGATATTGTTACTGTCCTTCCCATAGTGAGACTATTCTTACTCAAAGGATACAAAAAAACATTTTACCACTTATTAAATTGTTTTTTAGTAGGTAAAGCAAGGCTTTGCTTCTCACTTTTTAGTGTTACAGAAATAGTAGACATTTCTCAATTTTATATGAAGCGTTATCGTGGTGTTGCACAACTAGATTAAACAGAAATCACAGCGTGTTTATACTGAAAACCTGAACTAGCTAAAATTTCTAGAAATAGATTAAGTTTTGGTCTGCATTTCTAAAAGATCCGTTTCTTTCAGTAAGATTGGGCAACAAATTAGTTATTATGCACCTTGTGCATGTGTTCTATCCCTGACAGGATGAGCTACTAATCTGCTTTCAGTTCTATCTGAAATAATCACTTGTTGAAGTGATATCACATCACCCATAACCAATTCAAAAGTGTCCTATCAAAAATGACACTGCATGCAGTCCTAATGGAAAAAATCAAAAGCATTACACTATCTTCCTCTGTAATTCTGGTACTAAAAATTTTAAGTATCACATCAGAACAAGCAAAATACTTCAAAATTTGAAAATATTACCTTTGAAACTTGCATGAACCTCAGCAAAGCCAGAAATCACCTTGTGAGCTTCATAAACCAAAAGTGACCCTGTTGAAAGCACAACTCCTCTCTGAAGGCTTTTTCTAAGCACCTGTGTAGGATCATAAGTATTAATGAACATTATCACTCCGAGTTTAAAAAGGTTTTTCTTGTCTGCATCGTCTGTATGTTATGTTTCACATTCTGAGCAAAAAAAAAGACTTTAAAATGTTAAAAAATCCTTGTAAGACAAAATGCCACTTCATCAAGCGAGTATTTGAAGTATATTCAACAGAAGCTCACGATTACACCTGAAAACACGAAGAGAGCACTAGACTGGACATAAACCGAAAGTACGGAGCAAACACAAGGTTTGAAGCAAAGACCAAATGCGTGCTGCTGAAACGAGCCCAGGGCTCAGTTTCGCACCAACAAACCAGTCCTTCACGGCGCCCGCGGTGCCGGAGCCCCCGCCCGCCTCCCGCAAGCCGGCGGGGCGGCTCCGCAGGGCGAGCGGCCCCACACGCCGCGGGAACCGGCGTGAATTCGGGTGGAAGAGGCCTCCGAGATCACCCAGCCCAAGCCAGGACCGAACCCCACCCTGTCAAACACGGCACGGCACTAGGCGCCACATCCAGCCTTCCCTCAAACACCTCCAGGCTCGCTGGCGCCCCATCCCCC